TTCTCACAAAATTGTATAGAGCTAGTCTGGAGTGAAACTATATACCAGCCAGTTGGTTGGCAGCAAGGGTGGTATATATACCTAGAGAGGGCCAAACTTGGGGTTTAGGTCCCAAACGAATCCATTGGATTTATGTGATGATACTCAGACCAATGATCACTTGGTGGACGAAGGCTCTACAGAAAACGGCGCAAGCGAAGCTCTCTGGCTTACAGAAACAGGCTTGTCTGGCCATCAGTGGTGCCATTAGTACCACACCGTCAGCGGCCATAGAGATCCTTCTAGATATACCTTCTCTCCACATTTTTCTGGAAAGAGAGGCTAGATGGACTGCATACAGACTTGTGCACATTGCCAATTGCACAAATCAATTCAATGCAGAGTGCAACAGACTGTTGGTTGACATTGGAAGTCACAGCATTTTGGAAATGACCTCTCACTCCCATTCAACTAATTAATTCGACAAAAAACGTTCAGAAAAAGTGTCGTATGTGTGTAGGAGAGGCTGGTAGACATTCCGAATACCTTCTCTGGAGGAATATATTGCATTGTTTGTTCTTCATCATCATTATTATTATTATTGGAGATTCATTTATTAGTAGTGAAAACAGTATAAATTATTATCAGTCTCAACATGTGACAGCTACTACTGAATAATTTCTTTCTGTTTTATGGCTGCGTCATCCGAAGCTTACTTGATCAATGTGTGCGTTTGTAAGTCTACACCAATAAACCTGAATGCTCTGTATTTCAAAGATGACTCTAGCAAAATATCAAGTGTGCTACATTTTGAACTCTATTCAATTAATTACGGGTCTGATTCCTCTGGACCTGTATGTTAAGACGGTTGCGTTAACACGGACACGGCTGGTGTAAACCTCGAAGTAGGAATGGGTCAATTGAGGCTGGGCCTATGGTGAGAAGCGCTTACTGCGCAACCTCTGCTGTAGGCAACCAATGATGCAATTGAACCCAGGTTTGTGTTCAATAAACCCTACAAAATACAAATAAAACAACACAGAGTCAGATGCTACAAATGCAATACGCATATATACATACGGCTCAAAAACCAAAGAAGGCTCAGGATGTGGAGTGTACTCCAGATCAGTAAGTCTAAGGATTAAGTGGGGAATGTGAAAAAATATCAGCGTGGTCCAAACAGAACTGGCTGGTAACTCAATCGCCACAAAATAAATAAGCAGAAAAGGAATTTCTGGAAAAAACATAACAATCTGCACTAACAGCAGACAGCAGACAAGCCCTATTAGCCTTGAACAGACAACGTGTAACCTCAGGGCTAGTACTACAGTGTCACCAAGAGTGAGCCAAAGCCTCAAAAGTGATAAAAGTTTATCTCGTGGCCATTCGGACTGGTTTAGTAGGAGAGATATGATTTCATGAAGTGGAAGGACAAGAGAGTAGTTACGCTTCTTTCTACTATACATTCTCCGTTGTATGGGATGCGTTGACAAAGCTGATATGCTGAAATCCTACTATGCTATAGATAGGAAAAGTCGGAAGTCGTGGCACCGATTATTTTGGCATTTCTTGGACACATCCATTGTAAACTCTTATATATTGTTCAGTGAGAAAACTGGAAATAAAATGAAACTTAAGGAATTCCGTCTCGAAGTTGTATCTGGTTTGGTTGAAGCCAATTCATTGAAAGAAAACTTAGGAAGGCCATCAGATACGCCTGCCCAGAGCAGATTCAAAGTTCATGTATCCAAGGAACTTAGAAGTGATCAATCCAAGCACATGCCCGAGTATGGAACATCAAGGCGTTGTGCACATTGTAGTAGTGCTAAGGAACCGCATCGCACCAGATGGAGCTGTAGTGTGTGCAAAGTGGCTTTGTGCAAGTCAGCCAATAAAAATTGTTTTGTCGAATTTCATAAAGTTTGAAATGTCATAATTACCGACTATGTATTGTTAAATTTTTTCAATAAATTATTTTTGTTTATTGTTTTCGAACTCGAAAGGCAAAGTGGTTTCACTACGAAACCATGTGTTATTTTTCAAAAACCATTTTTTCTTCACTCGACTCTTGTATTTTCATGTCCAGTTGACTCCAATAAACAGTAAGTCACTGAAAGTTTTAATAAAAACTCGATTTACTTAAGTCGTGCTTCAAAGGGTTAANAGGTGTAAAGGTGACCTAGTGAATAAATGCTTGTGTTTTTAAATAGTTTATTTAGTGAAAAAGAAGGCTGAAAAGTTGATCTTTTCTGAACTTTGAAGGGCCGTAACTTTTTAAATAAGGGAGAGCGCCGCTTTTTTCTTTCGGATTCGTAATCTACGCATCAAAATACGTAAGTACAGTCAAACATTTTTTCAAAATCGCCGGGTGTCCACAAAACGAAAATTTAGCGTTTTTTGTTATTGGGTGTACACCTGTAGAAAATAATAGTATTATCATTATTGATTGATTTCAATCTGATTATCATTATCAGATTGATTTCGCATCATTTCCGTTCCACCGAAATCGTCTGCAATCCTTTTTTAACCAAAACCATGCAGTTAACATACATCAACTTACCGGCAATCCCAAACTGGGTCATCGTGTAAATGGGGAACCCACATGACGGAATGATACTCATTATCGACCCGATGTTCACAATTGTCCCACCCTCTCCTGAACTGGATTTCGCCATATATTGCATTCCAAGCAATGTACCGATAACACAACCCCGCAAATTGGTTCTCAGTTCTTGCTCCCACTTGGTATCATCCAATATTCCCGCATTATTGACTATTATGTCGATCGTCTGGTAGTGCAGAACGGCGTTCCTCAATGCAGCGTCCATCTGGTCTGTGTCTGCGACGTCCGCTTCGACCAGCAGGATTTTTTCCTCCCCGAATTCGTCGGAAAGTATTTTTAAACTTTCCTCCGACTTCTTCTTGTCGTTGTCTATTATAGTTAGAGCGGACATGCCTGCCTTGAGGAATTCTTTGGCTATTTCGAAGCCTATTCCCGAAGCACCTCCTGTTATTACGGCAACTTTGTCTTCGATATTCACCTTCGTAGGTGAGTTCTTGTTTTTTGCTTGAAGCGCATTCGTTCTTCTGATAGTAACCATTGGCCTGAGTAGTTTGTAGAACTGCTGGTTTCTGAATGCAGCCATTAATATTGAAATTTAAATATGTTTTAGCTGAAACTTTGACGTATAACTGTCATATTACATAAACGGAGTGGAACTGTCAAATTTTCATCCCATTCAATTCCATATTGTCATTGATTACATTGATACTTATTGTTATACGGGGTATGTTCAAAAAATAAGGTGAATGTTCAAATTTCGCGGGTTGCGCTTATTCAATTAGCGATAATTTTATGTTGGTACCCTCGTCTGGAATATCCACAGTTTCAGCTGTTTAGCATTTTAGTTTGTTGGTGAGAGGTATTGGTGAAAAGTGTTTCGGGTGTTCGGCGTATTTCTGCTATCCAAAAAAATGGATTAAAGAGTTTGCATCAAATTTTGTGTCAACAATGGAATTAGGTGCTTGAAAACACTTAAAATTTGGACGGTGGCATACGATGATTGTTTATAAGTGGTACACGCTTTTCCCAGAAGATCAAGTCTATGTGAATGACGCCGCTCGCTCTGACGCACCAGCACATTAACAACAACAACATATTAGAGAAAATGAAGTCACTCGATGTGAATAAGAGTACTGGGATCGATGGTTACCCTACATACTTCGTTAAAAACTGTGCTTCTGGTCTTGAGCTATGCCTTGAGCATCTTATTCAACAAATCCATGCAGTCTGGTGCTTTCCCAGAGGTTTGGAAAACTACTCTCCTAGTCCCGATTTATAAAAACTCTGGTAATAGAAACTCAGTAATGAATTATCGAGGTATCAGTGAACTGTCCATTTTCAGCAGATTGCTGAAAGCATCGTTTATGACTGTATATTTCACTATATCAAGTCATCAATCATAGAATGCAAGCATGGTTTTTTCTCCAAGATTGCCATAGAAACAACTTTAGTAATATATGCCGACTACATCTCAACTGCATTAGACAATCGAGCACAGGTGGACTCACTGTATACTGACTTCAGTAAGGCATTTGATAAAGTTGACCATAATCTTCTAATTTCAAAACTTGCTGGAATCGGTATACAGGGAGATCTCCTTAGATGACGTTCATCCTACCTTCACAATCGTAGTCAGCTAGTGAGCGTAAATGGATGCAGATCTACTTCATTTGTGGTAACCTCGAGAGTCCCTCAAGGTTCACATCTGTTTCCATTGATGTTTCTAGTATTTATAAATGATTTGAAAGATTGCTTCAAGCATTCACAAGTACTATTATGTGCTGATGACTTGAAAATATTCAGAAAAGTAACGATGACTAGAGATTGCTCAAAGATTCAGGAAGACCTCAATGATTTTGTAGAATCCTGTTACATCAAGAAATTAAAACTTAATATCAATAAATGTGCATGTATATCTTTTTGCAGAAACAAGAGTAGACCAAATTGAAGATCTTGGAATCTATTTTGATAAAAAAATTACTTTCAATCCCCATTTAGATTATGTAATAAATTCCTGCATCAAAACCTTGGGATTTTTCTGCAGAATATGCGAAGACTTCAACAACGAGGCAGCAATCAATTCTATTTATTATGAAGTGTAGAAAATTTTTATGGAGAATCGTCGAATCACTATTAGATGATGTCGGCATATCTGTTGGCTCATGCCATACAATTTTTTTGAAAATTTTGAGCTTGAAGAGCGAAAACTCAGAGCTCTCTCTAATTTACAGAGCTACAGCTCTTCAAGGTTCCGGAAATTGCAACTTTTCAGCCTTCTTTTTGCACAATACAATAAATATGTTGAATCTTTTGGAATGTTTTTCTGTTAACCAGCTGTTGCCTCTCCTCGAACGACAACCCTCAGAAATCGAAACATATGCTAGTATTAACGAGGTCTAACCTCCCAACGTACGATTTCCAGCACGAGCAAACTATACAAAAACGCAACACGTGTTACGCTATACAATAGCTTCTTCAGGTGTGTCTTCACTTAGTAATAAATGTTCTGATATGCACTTTTTGGGATGTCCTTGAGCTCTCTCAGCGATTCGGTTTTTATCTTTCTAGTCATTGCGAAACGCCGTTCTTTCATGGGTCTTTTCAATATTGACAACCAAAAAGTCGCAGGGGGGCATATCTGGGAAATACGGTGGCTGAGGCATGTGCTGTTTTTGACCAAAAAATTATGAACAAGCAATGACGAGCGAGCAGGTGCATCATCGTGATGAAAAAGCCATGCATTGTTGTTCCACAATACCGGACGTTTTCTTCGTATTGCTTCTCGCAAGCAGTCCATTACTTTAAGATAATACTCCTCATGAACCGTACGATCATGTGGCAAAACTCAGTATGCACTACGCGACGTTAATAGAAAAAAAACAGTGAGCAAAACTTTGACATTTGATCGAATTTGGCGTGAATTTCTTGGTCTTGGCTCTTGTGTGTTCTTTCATTGAGTAGACTGAACATTTACCCTATTTTTTGAACACACCTCATACGTTTTACATTCTAGAAGAGTCAATACAAAATGATATCATCCAGGACATCATGAAGGAATTTAATCCTTGTTACATCACAATTCAATTGAGGTGACTATTGGTTCATTTCTCTCAATCAATTTCTTCGAAGAAATCCCAACCACAAATGTATCAGACATGGTAAATCCACCATTATTTATACAATAAACACTACTATAAACGTGCAGAGGAACATAATTTCTCCGGTTACGTAACTAGGTGGCACTCGAAAGGCAAAGTGGTTTCACTACGAAACCATGTGTTATTTTTCAAAAACCATTTTTTCTTCATTCGACTCTTGTATTTTCATGTCTAGTTGACTCCAATAAACAGTAAGTCACTGAAAGTTTTAATAAAAACTCGATTTACTTAAGTCGTGCTTCAAAGGGTTAACAGACTTTACAACCCAAATTTTACTAGTTTGATGGTAAACTTAATTTTTCTCTTTTCACAAAATACATACAAATGGACATACACATTTCTTCCCCTTGACCCGTTATATGTTATACTATTTTGAAAAGCAATGCAGAAGCTACCAAATCCATGCCTAATTATTGAATCATTTTTTATTGTGTACCAAGTGTTGTATATTCCGCTTTCTGCTTCGATAACCTTCTTGGGGTTTGAAATGGACAACCATGTGTCTTGGCACAATCAAGTCACTGGAATTGCAAAGGCTGCTTCTCAAACCAGGAAACTGTACACACTTCAGCAACTTTTGACGCTTTCCAAAGCTCAGATTAGACCATTTTTAGACCAGATTGGACCATTTTGTTCTTACGTACCGAGCTCCGCCCCTAAGCATACCCTGAAACTGCTGGATATAGTCAAAATCGAGTCTAAAAGAGTCGGTTATAAACAAATTCTGCACTGAAAATCATTTATGGTAACCGAAAATCACACTTGTAGATCTTAGTAAAGCGTTCGATTGTGTTTCTCACGATCCTTTAATAGAAAAAGTTGAACACTATGGCGTTAGAGGTTTACCTCTCCAACTGATAAAATCATATCTTACAGGAAGAACTCAGTGTCTCCGATAAACAGAAAACTATCCGACTCACGTGAAATAAAATATGATGTGCCCCAAGAATCTGTCTTGGACCCCTTTTGTTCATTATTCACATCAATGATCTTTTTTACTACCTTTTTCTGAACACTATTTTCATGTATGCTGATGATGCGGCATCGATTAACAGACACTCAGACTTGCGCACTCTTGAATAGATTGAATAGGTGGTGGAAAATATGGCAGCTCACTGGCTAACTGATAAAATGCAAAATGATATAGGTATGCCCCAAGGGACTATTTTGGGACCATTGTTATTCCTTATATATTTGAATGACATTGTAACCATAGTACAGATGTACATGAGTGTGATGATACTATGAACTCTAGTCTTGAAAGGGTGTATAGATATTGCTCTGAAAATCTGCTGAAGGTGAATGTAAATAAAACAAAATGGATGTTAATAGGGAACATAGAGATCATAATAATGAAAACCTACTTCTACGATTGAATGACAGTAATATAGAGAAAGTAAACAAATTCGTGTACTTGGGTGAAACTATCGACAGTAACTTGAAATTCAAGGAACATGCTAATCAAGTTATCAAAACAATAACTTACAAAATCAACTATTTAAGAAGATGTTCCTCATATATGAGCCAGTGGTCTAAATTATTAGTCTACCACTCCATAAAACTTCCATATTTGAATTATTGTTTTACCATTCTGTTCTTTCTCAATCAAAATGAAATAAACAGACTACAAAAGATGCATCGTGGTATGCGAATAATCTTACAATGTTCAAGGATAACACCCATATGTTGCAAACCCTTCAATGGCTACCAGTGAAGAAACTCTTCGAGTACCAAACACTAATTTTCATTTATTTATTTCGGTG